CACACACATAAACATACTTCTTAGCTTTTAGCATATTTATGTTGTAAAGGCAAATACAAATTAAGAGACTCAATTCTTTACTTTGAAAAATAAGTGCCTCCTCCCTTCCTTTTTATTGAGAATTTCTCTGTTCTTTTTAAATGTATATAAATCTTTTCAATGACTCAACAAGCCTCTTGTGATTCTCAGGCATTAAGAATGTTTCCTCCAGGACCTGAGGGCTATGTTTCTCCAACAGAATCACCGAGGAAGACAGTGTCTGATTTCCCATTTTCCTGCTACTAGTTGGGCCTAACTTCTGCTTTTGCCTATTGCAAAATCGTCTAGTCTGCAAAATGTAGTGGCTTTGAAGGAATGCCCAGTCAATGACCTAACCACCTATATATTGTCACTATCTCCATTTGTCTCTTAACATTTTTTCTCTCTGAGCTACTTCCTTCTGCAATTATCTCCAAGAACAACAGGTCCAACTGATAACCATCTTTCTGATAAAGACTAAAACTACCTTCAGGCAATTATGAGCCTTGCAGAGCAGACCAGTCCAGGATAAGATTGCTCCATACACAGGAGATATTACCCCATTATGAAGCCAACATTGCCCCCCAAAGTCAGGAGCAATCATCTCACAATAGATACTGAGTTACCCCCTCAAGCAGTGATCTTCCTAGAACGTCACAGAACCAGTCCTAAGATCAACCAAATTTCGGCCTGACTGGGATGATTTACTCTTGCAACTACACAAAACCTTTAGTCATGGAAGCATTCAACCTTTGCCTTTGCTCCCCTTTTCTATGAAACCTCAAAGTTTCTATCAGAACTTTGGTCACTGTATCCTTAGATCTGCCCTTCTCCATTGTTTCTAACTTTTTTCTCAACTCAATCATGGGAAATGTAAAAACAGAGAAAGAAAAACAATCCAAAACAGCATCTATAGCTCTTTGGCATTGTGATCCTGCTAATGCATTGGGTTTCTCCTTAGATTTCTTTCAACGCAGTCACTCATTCATCAACTATGTATTTATTTATTCACAAAATATTTGGAGTACAGATCAGGGGGGATGCCAGCACCCATGGGATGGGGAGCTAGAAACCAAGATTTCACCCTGGAGTCCCACTTACAGGAGGGGCACTCAGACAGCAGCTGGTTCCTTGTAAAGCCTACATCCATCATGTTGGGCTTTGAGTGGGCACAGATTCCCTGTCCCGCCCTGGACCAATTAGAGCCACCCTGCCCTGTTCACTTGGAGTTTGGGAAGATCTCCTGGAAACCATACTTCTAGGTCACCAGTGTTGGACACGCAAATTGCTCTGTGAACATTACTCCCTGAGCTCCTGGGCTCTGGTTGGGACTTGCACTTTCATTCAGTCAACCAGTTGCTCAAACCTCCTCCAAATGGGGCCTTGTTGAGCATATGTGTATGTTTTGGGGTGTGGCCCTGTCACATCAATCCTCAGGGGCCCTTGTCATAGTCCCTGTTCCCATGATATAGCCTGTGGTGACAAGCCCATATGGAAAGTACTTGGGCCAACATGCAGTTGGCAGCTAAGTTCCTGCCACATTTCAGGAAGGGATCCTCTCCTTGTATCAAACCCTTGGTGTGTTAGGGGCCATGGGATCTGGGCTGATCCCGTACCATGCTGGACAGACAACAGGGCCAATTACTGGGTTCCAGTGCCTATTTTATCTTTCCAAGGGATCTATTAGTGTGTGTAGAAAGTCAGTAGGTAAAAATAGTCCTGATCCATGGACACTGAGTATTCCCTGGCTTCATTAGCACATGGTCTCACTAGTTTTAAGATCTGAGCTTAACTTTCTGGAACAGAAAGCTGGAAGGGATTGCCTGATATAAATTTTAGAGCAAAGGATCAAGAGACTAGGGGAGCTGTGAGAACTTCAACAAACTCAAATTTTCCTTAGCCTCAGTTTTTCCATCTATGAAAAAGGGGTGGCATATAAATTGTACACTGTTTAACATATGCAATTCATTGACCAGGAGATTATGACAGTGGATTCTTTACTATAATGAACCTTTATGTTTTCCCTTAGATAAAAATGTTACATATTTTACTAGTTTGTATTTTGAGAAAAAAAGACACCATATTCTACATTATAAAGAAACTAGAGTTATTATCTCTCTCATGATTTTAGCACAAGATTTGTTGATTGTTTGTTGAAACTTATTTCCATTTTCCTTATCTATTAACTTTTAAAATGCCAGACTGTGAAGGATAAGTTTCTAAAAGTACCAGGTGGTGTTTCAAGTGTGCCTATTTCATCTAAACCTCACAGTCATAACCCAAAAAGGAATTGCAGGAGAGTATGATTTTGTGAGTCAGTAAGGCAAATTAGAGGGTGATTCAAGATCACTCTAGGTGCATAATTTACATGTTACCAGGTTAATAGCACACAAATTTAAAATAATATGGTGGAGAAAGCACTAAACTGAGATTTAGGGACTATAAATCATCTAATCCTATCACTGACTCAAGTGATAGGGGCAAGTCACTTTCCATTGTTAGTTCTCAATTTTCCAAACCAAAGTGAAAGTGATAGACTGGGATTCTTTCAGTTGAGAATCATTTTCTGATTGTTGGAGGAATAATGGAGTACTGCTAAGGTTTCCCTTTGTAGTAACCATGCCCGTTTATGCCACTCCATACCCATGGCAGCAGCTCTATTTGGACTCTAGTTGTATCTTATTCTTTAGAACTGGTTCAGTAGCAGGAACCAGGGCTTTGTTTAAGGAGCATAGTTCTGGCAAAATTATTTCCTTCTCTTACGGCTGCTGAGTTTATTTTAAAATTATTTCCATATCTCAGTGAGCTCACAGTACATGTTGCTGTTGTGTCAAAGTCTCCAAGCAAAAGGCATTACCAATGACATTCCTCACAGAACTAGAAAAAAAAACAGTTCTTAAATTCATTTGGAAGAATAAGAGACCCAAAATAGCCAAAGGAATCCTGAGCAAGAAGAGTGAGGCTGAAGGCAGCCCAATACCTGATCTCAAATTATATTACAGAGATATAGTAACAAAAACAGCATGGTACTGGCATCAAAATAGACAGGAAAAACAATGAAACAGAATAGAAGACAAGAATGAAACTAGATCCCTATATCTTACCCTGCACAAAAGTTAAATCAAAATGTATCAAAGACTTAGGAATTATACCATAAACTTCTAGAAACAAACATACAGTCAATACTTCAACATATTGGTGCAGGCAATAACCTCCTTAACAAGACCCCTAAAACTCAAGAAATAAAATAAAAAATCAGGACTGGGGTTGTAGCTCAGTGGTAGAGCATTTGCCTAGGACATGTGAGGCACTGAGTTTGATCCTCAGAACCACATAAAAATAAATACATAAAATAAAGGTATTGTGTCCATCCACAACTAAATCAATAAGTATGATGCCATAAAATTAAAAAGCTTCTGCACAGCAAAGGAAATGATTAAGAGCATGAAGAGAGAGCTTACATAATGGGAGAAAATCTTTGCCAGCTACTCCTCTGTAGGGGTTTGATACCCAGATATATAAAGAACTCAAAAACTGAGCACCAAACCCCCAATCAATAAATGAGCAAAATAACTAAACAGACATTTCTCAAAAGAAGCAAATGGCCAACAAATATCAGTAATAATGGAATTGCAAAAGAAAACTACAAATGGTGACCCCATTTGAGTGCCAAATGTAAGTGAGGCCCTATTGTAGGAATTGGGAGCACATGTTCCTTCTCCCAGGTTCCTTCCATATTTTAACAGATTTTGAATGGTTTATTTTAGTTTAGCAATACTTCATGTATTTTTCTCACGAGATAACCAGGATTATCTCATCAATCTGATATAATTATTGTGCTATATCAAAGGAAGGTGATGTTTTAAGTTTCTTTTGATGCCTTATACTAAGTAAACATTTCAATTATTAGGTCTTTAAAAAATATGTAAAATTGGCCTGGCATGGTGGCACATGACTGTAGTCCCAATGACTGGGCAGTCTGAGGTAGGAGAATTGCAAGCTTGATGCCAGGCTCAGAAATGCAGTAAGACCTCATCTCAAAATAAGAAGGACTAGGAATGTTGCTTGCTGGTAAAGTATCCCTGGGTTCATTACCATGCGTGTGTGTGTGTGTGTGTGTGTGTGTGTGTGTGTGTGTGTGTGTGTGTGTGTGTGTGTGTACATGTGTGTATGAAATATACATAGAAAATTGTTCTCTGTATTCACCCATTACTACATTATAGGGGTAATGGCCTCTCTTGGATGATTGTGTACAGCAGAAGTCCACCAACTTTCCCTGTAAAAGGACAGATAGTAAATATTTTAGATTTTGTTTACTATACCACCTAGCACAACTGAACACTGTAGTTGTGGACCATACAAATGAATGACTGTGACTCAATTCCAATAAATTGTATTTATAAACAATGATATTTGAATTTCATAATTCTCATGTGTTGTGAGGTGTTATTCTTTTGACTTTTTTCAACCACTTACCAATGCAGGGGGGAAATCGTTTGGTCTTGTGCTGTAGAAAACCAGGCAGCAGGCTATATGTACTTGGCTGGCTACAATTTGTTAACCCTACGGGTAGATTTTTCGAGCTCTTCCTAAGTTCTTATATTAAGTGGTTATTATCCACCTAAGGCTGGAGATGAGGCTAATAGCGGGATTATTAAATTCAAACTGAAGTTTGAAGTCCAGGCTTCTGCTGCACAGTCTATGGCTCTAAGGTTTACTCATAATTTCAGATGTGGTCTTTATGTTTCTATGGTGCAGAAAATAGATGTGTGGTCAGCGACTGTTTCCAGACGTCGCCCATGTAAGGGCTGTCCTCTCATTAGCAGGCAGTGGTAACCTAATTTTGACAAGCCTGACCCTGGGCTTACACACCCTTTTCGTTTATAACTCTCTCGGGTTGCCATCTGTCCTTACTATTTGAGTCCCTGTTGTCTCATTGGCGGCTTTGTGAGCAGCTGCAAAATGTTTTTAACTTTGAGTGGAAGTTGGGGTCACCACTACCGGACTGGAACAGTCTCTCTCAGCAGGGCTTTATCAGGACGGTTCTGTAGTTTCACGGCCTCTGGTGAGTGGTAAAGCAAGTGTTCCTCCCCGCTTCCCATGGCTGCCCTTCCAGTGCGGGCAGTAATTAATGACCCATTTGCTCAAGTACAGGTGGAATAATGTGCACTGGTTTTTTGTGTTGTTGTCGGAAACTGCTTAGTTGCCTAGCACCACAGTCGTCTGCTTCCTTGTCTTTCCCGCGGCTCCGGTGCTCCGGTCGCCTCGCTCAGGCCGGTGGGCGATCGGGACTGAGACTGGTGAGGATTTCACTCGAGCTCAGGGGGCGGCGACGACGACGCCCGCCGGGAGGAGTATGCTGCGAGGCAAGTCCCGGCTCAACGTGGAGTGGCTGGGCTACTCGCCCGGCCTGCTCCTCCAGAACAAGCCGCTCCTGGCAGGGCGCACGCCGCGAAACCTTCGTGGGTAAGTCACGTGAGCTCTAATACCGAACCCCGGCCAGTGCCCGCCGTAGTCTTGCATCAACACCCTGCGCCGCGCCTGCGTACTTCACCCTGCACCGAGTTCACAGGGACACTTCCGGCGCGGCGGGTCTGGAACTTAGGGGCCTCTGAGCCCAACCCGCTGCCGAGTGCTTGCGGCTGGCGGGGCGACACAATGGAGCGCCTTGATAAAGCGGCGCTGAACGCGCTGCAGCCACCTGAGTTCAGGTAGCCCGGAGCGGTCCGGTCTGTGAAGTGGGCGGGCTGGGGCTTGCACTGGGGATGAGGGAAGGGCCCCGCAGGACTGGCTGGGCATGAGATCTGGATTCCTAGGGCCTTGGGGCGGGGGAGCTGAGAGGCAGGTTGGAGCCCGCAGGGTCTGCATGCCCAGCCTCAACCTTTCAATTGGGAAGGACAGATCCAGGGTGCGGGAGGTAGGAGAGCGGCCCTTTAGCTCTTGCTTCTGTCCTAGTACTTTCTCCTCATATTTGAGTTTCATTCTTGCTGTTTGCTGTCTCTCTCCACACTGCAGGGTGACTTATCTTGTACTGGCTCCCCCTCCTCCACCAAACACTCTTAATTAAACTTCTACAGAGACCCTCACCATAATTGTTCTTATCAGCAAAAATTTCTCCAAAAACCTCAATGAGGAATAGGACTTCCTATTTTTGGTGAGGACTAAGTTGCTCTGCCTTGCCAAAGCTAAGTTCGGCCCCAGACTTGATGATGTTACTTCTGCTTTTGTGGTCAAACTTGTAAAACCTCTGACTAATATAAAAACATGGGACAAAAAGCACTTGTCCTGTAAACCTTCAAGCCCCTCCTCCCACTGGGTATGAAGTCCAAGAATATCCATACTCAAGGTCCAGAGAATTTTTTAGGTATAACCCCTCTGAACCCTGTACCCAATAAACCCTCTTCCTGAAAATTCCTCAGGTGTCCATCCTCTTCTGTCCTACATGATGTGGCAACCCGTGTGGGACAGTGGAGGTCAAGACAGCTTTTCTGCCTCGCTTGTCTCTGCGTCTGCCTTCCTAGGCACGTGGGAAGACAACACGTCTCCTTGGTCCACCACAGGCAACTCTTTGCCGGTAAGTGAGGTGACTCATCCGGCACCCTGAGCTGCCACCCTGAGCACAACGGAACCCAACAGGAGCAGGAACCAGAACTAGGGAACTTGAGCACCCCAACGGAACAGGTAGGATCCAGATCCATTACTGGTCACCCACCTGGCCTCCCCATTCAGGCCTCATCAGGTGGAAGAGAAGCTTGATCAACCCTGAGGGTCCAGACTAACTTCCAAAGGAAGTAGAGCCAAAGAGGACCCGAGGAGTTGTCTGGGTAGTCAGTGTTTGGGCTCAGAGAGAAGAAGGGAAACCAGGACTCGTTCTTCGGCTTTGGAGTTTTGGGAATTGGGTGTGTGAATGAGATGGACAAAGGTCGAAGCGAGTTTGGAGTCCATGGCCACCAGAAAGATCTTTAGACAAAAGTGTCATTGGTGAGGTCCTTTTAATACTTGTCAAAACCCCTGGACACCCAGTCCAATTCCCTTATATTGACTGCTGGCAAGAGATAGCACAGAAACAGCCCCCTTGATTGAGAGCCTGTCTAGAAGGACAGTCCAAGCTGATGTTATCTCAAACTATAGTGGCCTCTAAGACCCAACAAAAGGGAACTGAACAGAAAAACCTGACAAAGAAAAGACAGAGAGGAAACCAGCTTTTCCCCCTGAGCCACAAGAGAACCCATCACCTGACATGCCACTGCACCTGACGGTGCCAAGACCATCGAGGCGACCAGCTGTCCTCTCAGCCTCCTCTCCCCAGAGGCAGCAGACTGTGGCCCCCTCGACACTGGCTACTCCTTTCTCCTTATTGTCCTCAGTGCCCGAGGCTTCCCCAGAGCCAATGACTCCTTCATCCCCAGACGCCAAGGTGGGGAAATTGTTCCAAGAACAGAGGCATAACCGAGATGAGGGCTCTGCAGATGCCCTTACAAGAAACTAAAGAACTAGGGAACTTGAGCACCCTGTTGACCAGGAGGGAAATGTCTGAGGGGAACAATGCCATTTTGTGTGGTAGCCTTTCACCACCATTAATCTCTTAAACTAGAAAAAAATCATACTCCCTCCTACATGGAGAAGCTACATGGAGGGCCACGATTGATGTGATGCAGTCCGTTATCCAGACAGACCAGCCCACCTGGGTTGATGGGCGAGTGACCCAAGCAGCTTTAAAGTGGCTAGAAGAACGTGCTGTGGATGCACAAGGCAGCATCCAAGCCTGTGCGCAGGCCCAGTTCCCCAACACAGACCCGTGGGGGACCCCCACAAAGAGGGAGACCTCCTAAAGTTAAAGAGGTATCAAGAGGCCCCCCGTAGGCAGCCTAAGAGAAGGGGGAAGGAGAGCCCTAAAGGTGAGCAAGGTATCAGAAGTACTCCAACAGCCTGAGGAGAGCCCCAGCCAGTTCTGTGAATGACTAGGCGAGGCGTCCCAACCCTTCCCTCCCTTTGATGCTGAGGCACCAAATAACCCGCAGGTAAACAAGCCCAGAGACATATTTGCAAGAGCTCCCAAAACCAGAGGACTTTGCTGAAAACAATGCCAGTGAGCTGATTAAAGTGGCCACCACAGTTTTCATCAACTGAGACCAAGAGGCTCAAGGAGAGGCACACCAAAAGATGAAGAAGGAGATGGGACTCTTTGCAGCTGCCCTCACCGCAAACGCAAAGGTCACTCAAAGGGCGGTCCCACCAGAACAAAGCCAAAACAAGGATCAAAATCGCGCCAGATGCAGGGCCAAAGGAAGGTCTGAATGGAAGGACCACCTTATCCAGGGACAAGACTGAGACTAAGCTGATGTGCCTACTGCCATCTAGAGGGCCACTGGAAGAGAGAATGACCCTAACTAAAGGCCAGTTGACCTGAACCAGGCTGCCACAGGGCTTCAAAAACTCACCAGCCATCTGCTGGATGGTGCTGGCTTCTGATTTCTTGTTTTATAAAAATTGTGGTAGCCACTTTAATTAGTTAACTGGCATTGTTTTCACCAAAGTCCAGCAAAGTTTGCAATTTTTGGTGAATGTATCTCTGGACTTGTCTCACAAAGTCTGTATTTGATTATCTTCTGGTTGTCTGGTGCCTCTGGATCAAATCAAATGAAAAGTTGGAAGGCCTCAGTTCATCGAAGAGGCGGGGGCCTTTGTCAGGTTTTTGGAGTACTTTTGATATGTTTTTTAGGGCTTTTATTCTCCCTTCTTTTAGGCTGGCTGTGAGGCCATCTTGATAGGAGGCCTTTCTCTTTATTGGGGTCTCATTCATACACTTTCACACACCTTCACACAGATATGATCAGAACAAAATTTTTCTATCACCCGAATTCCAAAAAGTCCAAAGCCATAGAAGGACTTCTGGTTTCCTTTCTGCTCTCTCACCCCAAACAGTGACTACTTGGAGAATTCCCTGTGTTCTTTGGAGGTTACTGTGGACCCTTAGAGGTTGATCAAGCGTCTCTTCCACCTAATGAGGCCTGAATGGGGAGGCCAGGTGGGCGACCAGTAATGGATCTGGATCCTACCTGTTCCGTTGGGGTGCTCAAGTTCCCTAGTTCTGGTTCCTGCTCCTGTTGGGTTCCGTTGTGCTCAGGGTGGCAGCTCAGGGTGCCGGATGAGTCACCTCACTTACCGGCAAAGAGTTGCCTGTGGTGGACCAAGGAGACGTGTTGTCTTCCCACGTGCCTAGGAAGGCAGACGCAGAGACAAGCGAGGCAGAAAAGCTGTCTTGACCTCCACTGTCCCACACGGGTTGCCACATCATGTAGGACAGAAGAGGATGGACACCTGAGGAATTTTCAGGAAGAGGGTTTATTGGGTGCAGGGTCTAGACAGGCTGGTGTCTAAAGTTTCTCTGTACCATGAATCTTGAAATTCTTCAAACTTTATACTCATTGGAGGTAGAGCTTGGAGGTTTACATTTTTGTAGGAGTGTACTTAACAGTATTATTGGTTTTTTTTTTTAGTCCAAAGGAGGTGCTTTTTGCCCCCCCCTTTTGTTAGATTAGTCAAAAGCAGAAGTATCATTATCACATGTAGGTAAACTTAGCTTTTGTAAGAAAGAGCAAGTTAGTTCTCACAGAAAATAGGAAGTCTTATCCCACATTAATTTTTTTGCAGAAATTTTTGCTGATTTTATGCTAATAAGAACAAGTATGCTAGCGGTAGCGTGCTCGCCTGGCATGCGTGCGGCTGGGTTCAATCCTCAGCACCACATACCAACAAAGATGTTGTGTCCGCCGAGAACTAAAAAATAAATATTAAAAATTCTCTCTCTCCTCTCTCTCTCTCTCTTAAAAAAAAAGAACAAGTATGCTGAGTTATCTGGAGAAAATTAATTGAGATTTTTTTGGTAGAGAAGGGGACACCATTCTATTTCTTAATGGAATTTGCAGTGACATGTTGAAGGGGAGAAAAAAAATTACACTTTTAATTTTGCTTGACACGAAAAGTAATGTGGTAAGCTTTCTGTTCTCAGTGTTCACTGTGTAAACCTTTATGTAGTTGGAAAACTAAGTGGTGCACAATTTTTAAAAAATTTTTTTTATTAGTTGCTCAAAACATTACGATGATTTTGACATATCATACATTTGATTTATGTGGGGTATGAATTCTTTCTTTTCCACATGCACAGATTGCAATATCACATTGGTTTTGCAGCCACGTTTATACATACAGCCATATTAGTGAGTGGTGGACAATTTTAATTCTGGCCTTCTCTATTCCATTTCTAACAAGTCTCAGCAAGCCTCAATCAGAGGTACAAAGGAAAACAATCGAATGATATCATTTCCTTTGTTTTATAATTATCCAAAATGGACAACTGCAGAGGCCTGGGTGGGGCTGGAAGCCAAGGAAAACATATGGTATAAATACCAGGGGGATATCAATTATTTTCCCAAATTTCATACACTTTGATCTTGTACAGTCATGCCTGTTTTAAGGATTTTGATGATAGCTTAATGGCTAGTTATAGCCATAAAAAATAACATGAAAACACATTTCTTAGATCGTATCTATGTTGTTAAGTGATACATGAGTTCGTGCTTCAGATATGGTAGGCAAGTGCTCTACCACTGAGCCACAATCTCAGTTGTCCACCCCTTCTTGTTTTATTTTGAGCAGGGTTTAAGTTGCTTAGCGCCACTGGGATTATAGACGTGTGCTTCCGTGCCTGGCACTATTTTTTCTGGGATGGGGGGGTACCAGGGATTGAACTCCGGGGCAGTCGACCACTAAGCCACCTCTCAGCCCTATTTTGTATTTTATTTAGAGACGGAGTCTCACTGAGATGCTTAGTGCCTCGCTATTACTGAGGCTGGCTTTTTTTTGAACCCGGAACTTCTTGTCTTCTCGCGAGAACTGGGATTAGGACATTGATCAGTGGTAGTGCGGCTCTGCACTGGCGAAAGATATTTTGTTTATTTATTTTTCTGTAAGTTTTAAAAATTTATTTTTACCTTATAAAAAACAAAAAACAACTAGAGACATATATGCACGTTAGCCGAGGTCTACACGGAGTCACAATCACCAATCTTGAATTTCACGGTAATGTGATGTCTTTCAGTTGCTAGTCTAGACTCTGGCTCTTTGGTACTGGGAGGGCACATTGTTCCTGTTGGAGGTGGAGCTATTTACTTCGGAGAAGGCACTATGGGTTTAAAATGCTGGACTTGAGTCTGGTAAAAGGATCTGCGCCATTTTCCAGCGTAACAGACTGCACCATGATCTTACCGTGAAGTTCTCAAGGTTTAACCTTGCATCTGGTAATTGGAGCATAATGGTAACGAACAGGGTGAAGACAGGCCTTTTTTTCCGCAGAAGAGATGGCTGCATTTTTTCAGGGTGGATTACTACGACCAGATTAATGGGTTTCACTGCTTGGTCCGGGGTTTTGATGGCGTTGGAAGGGCTTTTGGAGGGAGAAGCTGACAAGACAGAACAGGTTTGTCATCACTGTCTCCCTGTATATTAATATCAGTTTCGAAGTGAATGAGAGTGTCTTCAAGGTAGGGATGTAAATTCTCGTGCTCCAGCAGAAGAGAGTACCACTTCCCACTTTTGTCTTTTGGATCTTATGTTTTTGAAGCTTTGTCTCACTGTCCACTGGGCACTAAGGGACAGATTTTCCAGCATCTGGTCTGTGGGAATTTATAGTGTTACAGACTATTTGGATATAGCTGTGAAGATTCTCAATTTTCCTTTCTTTACTTCATTCCAGAAGCGAAAGTTCTTTAGCGTCTACTCTGAAGACTCTCTTGTTCTTCACAGCTTTAATGATCACAGTTCCTATTGGATTATATTTCACAACTAAATCTTATATATTTGAAGGTAATCCTCAACTCATAAAAAAGGAATTTTACCCTTTACATATTTAAGTTCTGTACTTTGAACTCTTTTTATCAGTAAAGTGAGTATTGCTGTTTTTTTCCTCTGGTTTTGCTTTACAAAAAATGTTAATCATAAATCTTCATGAAATGCATTCTTTCATATGTAATTATTTCATTCTAACATACTTTTATGTGTATCACCTTGCATTTCTTTACTATGCTTTTGAGAAGAGTTTGAAAAAAGAATTTCATCAGATGGAATTTTTGTGTCAACTTTTCAAAGAAAGGGAAAATTAAATCTCCTTTTTAATGTCAAAGTGCTTAAAAAGCTAGCCATGGTAGTGCACATCTTTAATTCTACTCACTTGCAAGGTTTAGCCAGGACGATTGCAAGTTGGAGGCCAGCCTGTGCATGTTGCTAAAACCCTGTCCCCCCCCCTCCAAAAGAAGAACTGGGATATGCCTCCAAGTTCAGGATCCAGTATAAAAGAAATCCTTAAATGAAATTATAATGATAGTTTCCTTTCAATTAATGTTCTCAGTACATAGATTTACTACCATCCAAAAATAGTACCTTTTAATAGCTTGACTACTTAAATATGCAGCTAATAATAATTAATGTACTTTCTTTTTTGTACCTTGATAAATTTTGAAATAAAATGAAAGCTTTTTCTTTCTTTGATAGGTATCCTCGGAATGTCGAATAGGGATAGTTACTTTTATGCTGCGATTGTTGCTGTGGTTGCGGTTCATGTGGTACTGGCTCTCTTTGTGTATGTAGCCTGGAATGAAGGCTCACGGCAGTGGCGTGAAGGAAAGCAAGATTAAAGTGAACATCACCTTTTGATGGAATTGAATTGATTTTTTAATATGGTAAATGTTTTTGGGACATTGGTGATGAGTAAATTTTATTTGAATAAAGTTGAAAGAACATGTTAAAATCAAACTTAATGAGTCACATTTGACCACGTGTAAATTTTGACTCATTTAATATAATGTTTTGTATAAGTGGATTTAACTTCATGAATTTCCCATTTGCAAAGGAGAAATTGGAAAAGTTAAATTGTTACAAATTAATGTGAGTTTCACATTATCCTGGGAAGAGTTTGATTATCTGACAACCAAAAAAGTTTTATAGCTTTCAATCTTAAAAGTTGCTTTTTCAGTTATACTGTACATATATTAAGATGTATATAATGAAGCAAGCCTAAACTTTGACACTGGAGCATTTTCCTAACTTATCATGAAAATACCAGGTCCTTGGACTTGGAATTTTAATTTCCTGTGGAAAAGTGCTTAAATTTTGGACACTACAATTAATCTGAATGTCACTGAGAAATTTCACAAAAAGTGTAATTCCTAGTCAGAACAAATCTCTCCAGAAAACTAGGATAAGCCACACCCATTCATACAAAAGGACTTTGGTTTATTGTGGGATCAAGAGAACAAAGACAAGAGCTGCCTGCCAGTTGTATGCTTTTTCAGACCAACTATTTACGTTCTACTTTACGCCCTGGTTCAGCATCGAAGTTAGGCTTCATTACAAAGTTTGTGGACATTTTATTTAAAATTGTAATTCTTACTTTTTCTTAAATTATAGTGTATATGAATTTACATTTCATAAACTATTCATATTTCCATACATTGACAGTGTAAACAATTCTGAAAACATTTTTATCATTTTGAAGCATTCTAGGCATATCTTGATCTAATGGTCTTTTAAATCAGACCTTAGTTCATGCAGTATATAGACGCATAGTTAATCCACAAGTTCCTTTTTAATGGGAAAAAATACCTGTGATTTTACTTTACTTTTGTAGTTTCAGTCTGTATTCTTTCCAGCCATTTGGTACTATGTGTGCACTGATCCCTTAAATTTTTTTTCTATAGAACCATATGATTATATGGAAAATACATATTCAAACAGGAAAACAACAAAAATTTCCCCCTTAATCTTGTCACATGGAGATAATCGCTACTTTGGTTTATATCCTCTGTGCAGTTTTGACAGTTATTTATTCTGATTTTTTTTTTTTTTTGTGGTGCTGGGGATTGAACTTGGGGCCTTATGCATGCAAGGCAATGTTTACCAACTGAGCTATATACCCAGCCCTTGAAAGCTATTTCTTGATGCTAATTCCATACAACATCACAAGTTGGGTTTAAGTTCAAATCCTGCCATTTGTACCAGACAGCTATTTGCATTTTTTCAGATAATTGGCCATTTTCGTATAAAGCATATTTTACTTTTAAAATTCAAAATTTCAGTGTTTTTACCATGTAAAGAAATGATAAATGTATGAAGGGATATATACATGTAACCTAATTTAAACATTACACAGTGTATATCTGTATCAAAATATCACATGCCCCCCAAAATATGTACTATATTTATGTTTTTATGTATTAGTTAAGAAAGTAAAAAGAAATATAAATTTCTTATTACTGATGAAACTAATATGAGGCCCCTTGCTTAGGTGTTTGCCACTATCAATTTGTTCATTGTTATTAGGTTTTTTTTTTATGTTGTGGAACTGGACAAAAGGAAAAAATGGATGATTAGGCATAAAAGTCAAGTATGCACTTATGCTTATAAAGAAAAATAAAAGATTAGTGTGGTTATAGGATTATTCTTAATTCTTGCTTAAAGTTAAATATTGTCTACAGTTTAAATATCTTTAAGCAGGTATTCTAAAGGTAAAGTTTTTGGTAAAGATTACAATTGTATATAATGGCATTTGAATCTAGGGTGTTGTGTGGTAGAGTTCTAAATGGTTTACTCATTAGATGACCTGCTGTATTTAGAATTAATCACCTGAATTTTTTATAATGCCAAGGTTTTTCTTGTACTTTTGGGATCTTAGACTTTTTGTAAAATATAATGTCCAATGTTGGATTTTTTTTTAATTTTAGACATTTACTGAGTAGCTAATGATATGGATATTTTTCTGTAAGCATTAAAACCAGGGATATGTGCAAACACATCATTTTCTCTTGGAAAAATGCCAAGTGTTAAAAAGTTACAATCACGTGTTAGGATTATTGATATTTAGGATTATTACCAAATAGACTTTTCAAAGCAGTTAGTTTTCCTAGGATTTTAACTGTTAACCCACCAGTTTTCTGCTGATAACTGTGTTAGTTAACATGGGTATTTGAGAAATAAGTTTATTTTTCAAGATATTTTGCCAGTTTTTGCTTGTATAATGTATATACTTCAAGATGTATATGAAGTAAAGCTACAGTTGAGCCCTTATACATGTTTTAAATTAGGAATATTTTCACTGTTGTTTGAAAACTGCTTGTAACAAGAAACTCAATTAGGAAGTATAACTTGAAGCATCAGTCCAAGCTACTGATATAATCCCATTTACTGTAATGATACTCCTGATTTACTCTCCAGGATGTATTTCCTTTTTTGCTGAAAAATGAAAACTCTGCCATAAAATGTCATTAGCTTTTCAAATGAATACCATTTTGTGTACAATAGTAGAAATTGGTTTTGAGTTATTAATGAAGAATTATAAACCTACTATTAAAAACAAAACAAAACCTTATGTTTCAGCCAGACAAAGTGGCACACAGTGGTAACTCCAGCTGTTTGGAGGTGGAGGCAGGAGGATCATAGGTTCAAGGCCAACTTGGGCAATTTAGCCAGACCCTATCTCAAAATAAAAATTGAAAAAGGGCTAGAGATATAGCTCAGTGGTAAAGTCCTCCTAGTTTCATTCTACAGGACCTGAAACAAACAAAAGCCCTGTGCCTCATGGGCATCTTTACAGAAATAAATTGTGATAATTAGAATGTTTTCATTATAAAAAATCACATCAGCTTTACCAAGAAAAAAAAAAACTGATTAACTTTGTTTCATGTTTATTTTCCATCTTCATATAAATTTTACATACACACCTACAGTACCCAAGGAAACAAGTAAAAACAGTTAAACAAGTTACATATACCCCAAACAGACTAAACCTGAAGGTACATAAAACATTTAAATTTTGTTTTAAACCCAGACAAGTTGATGTTTATTATTCATTTGTGCCCATGTGAAGTTGTGGACTGTTGTCAAACCTGTTTGATAAATGCTTCAACTATGGCACACAATTTGTCTCTTCAATGGCAGGTTTCTCTGCTGTTAAGCATTGCATGTCCTCCACCAGGGCTGTACAACTGTTCATGCAGATTCTGCTCCTGTGTTACGATAGTTTTTACAAATGTTGTGCTGAAGTATACATTAAAAATTTGACAGGACTTATTTTTTTGATCCCTTTTCAGGTGTAAAGAGTAATCTTAAAATTATTTTCAGGGACTTGAGCAACATAACCATAATTGTTACAAGTAATCTGTAAATAGTTTGGTCCTTTATGTATTCCTTAAAATAGAACAAAATTCCTCAACATCACTCCTGGCCACTTTCCTTGTTTCCTTCTTTCCTTGTTGCTGTGTACTTGAAGGAAATATTCCTTTTCACATATTCTATGAGTCATATTTCTCAGTTATACACACTAGTCTTCCTTTTTCCTGTGTTTGGTGAGACTTCACTGAACAGGAATAATAGCAGTAGCTAACAACAGCTGCATAGCACATACAGTTTGCAAAGAGCACTCACACATTCTCTTCAGTTTTGCATAGTGAATCTGTTACAAGATGTCTCAATGTCAATGCGGAGAGTGAGAATATTTGCGGAGAGTGAGAATATTTAAGTCTCTATTGTCATTGGCTATGCCATAGTGTTGACTACTGCTCTGGCTAGGGAGAGGATGCCAGTGTGCCTGGTTTCAAGCCATGTGTCATTAATGCAGTAGGGGGTGTGAGTTCTTTAGCCATTTGAATCAGATTGATTTTTGTAAGTGATGCTTTTCCTACCCTTATCTAGATGTGTTTTGTATTCATTGTATTCTAGCCCGTCATTTGTATAAATTTACTATCTGTTGTCATTAAAAAAGTGTCTATAATGCCTGTGCCCTGATTCAATTATCAGTAAGGTTTTTAACCTCTGCTTTTTAAATGTTTGTGGGTTTTTTTGTCTTATTCTCTATAAAAGTTACAATATATGCAGGTATTGTTTTTTAGATGTATTTGTTTTGTGTTTGTGCCATGTAGAATATGCTCAGAGCTGTCAAAGATGAGCTTTAATGCAGTACACATATACCAAAGGCTGTCAGACTGGTTGGGGTGTGCATGGGGTGCCAAAATGGGAAGGTTTGGTTATATCCATCTAGGGTTGGCCTATCAGAATTGGCCTGGCAGTGTGGAGAAAAAGCTTGCCCCATAGCTTTTTTTTTTAAAAAAAAATTCATTTGGGGGCAAACAGGCTTCAGTATCACTAAAGGAGTAAGGCTGAGAAATACTTGTGGTTAATTAAAGACTAGGAGAAAGAATTTCTGGACATGTTCAACATGGCACCCCTCCCATGACCAATGCTCTGTGTCCTGCTTCCTCTAATCATCTGTTGATCATATACACTCTAGTTCCTTTCTGTGTTTCTGAGAACTACAGTCAATTCTTACTAATCACTAACGTCCCCTTCCAGATAACATTTGTGAGATATCTTAGTTTCAAAGATACAGATGATGAGATGATCCAGGAACTCAGAGAACAGGTAATGAATGGCATTGCAGAAATCACAGAAAAGCAGTGCTAAGTTTACTAGAATCACGTTGTAGGACTTAGTAAAAATTCTAGATTGCTCAAACTTAACCCAGACCTGGCTCAGAATCTTGGGTGCAAAGCCTATAAATGTCTTTGAAAGGGGCATTTATCCTGCATGCAGCCAGATGGAGACCCACTGACAGATTTATGTCTCTAAATACATGTTATTAATGCTGGACTTGATATTTTTATAAAGGTGTTTTAGGCAGCTTTGTGTCGCTGAGTATAAGATCTGAAGAGAACACTTACAGGAGGAAAGATTTATATTGGCTCCTCGTTTAAGGTTCAGTCCATGGTTGACCAACTCTCAAGACTGGGCCCAAAATGAGGCAGAACATCATGGTGGAATGGCATGGCAGAGGAAAGCAGAGAGAGCTGCTTGTACCTTGGACAAAATATAAAACCCCAATGCCTAACCCCAGTGACCTACTTCCTCTAATGACAACCTGCCTGCCTATGGTTACTGCCCAGTTAATCCATTTCAGGGGATTAATGTACTGATTACGTTAAGGCTCTCATAACCCAATCATTTAACCTTTGAACTTCTTGCATTGCCTCAAATATCAGCTTTTGTGGTGGCAATCACCTCATCGAAACAATAACATTACCTTAAGATAAATCCTGCATTATGACATATTGAAGGTATTAACAGAAGGAGTTAGGATTGGGTTCATGTTCCATGGAGTTGAAGAATGAACACCAGGAACACCACACCTTTCTCCTACAGTATCTGTAGTTCTTTGCACACAAGCAGAGCAGCAGAGTAACTGGATGTGCTCTTTGTGGGTATAGTGTCCAGGCTTTGCCATTTAGCAGGGTTTCATCGTAAACAGCAATTGTGTTCGTTCAGCTGGTTATTCTGCTCCAGATCTGTCCCATGGAATAGATTGGAAAGACCTGCCAGTTCTCCTCCTCACACTCTGCTGCTGCAATTCTGCAAATATCAATGTTTTCAAGTTCAGCTCTGGCCCTTTAACATGCATGTAAGCAGAAAGAATAAAAATATAAGCAGAATCAGAATCTCTCTGTTATGTGTAAACTATGGCAGTATATATTTTAAAGAAAAAAAGTATGTTGCATAGCCAGATTTTGTTGCTTTAAACATATTCACAATAGAAAATGAAAATGTTTAGGGTCTATGAAAAGTGAAATCTGTGTACAAGTTTATATTCCATTTGTTCCCTAGAAAATGGATGTAAGGTCAAAAACCTCATGCATAGATGCCCCTTAGTATCCAGGGGACTTAGGTCCAGGACCCACTGCAGATTCCAAAATCTGAAGATGCTAAAGTCCCTTACGTAAAATGGCACAGTATTTACATAGAACCTGTGCATAATCTTCCATAACTTTAAATCATCTCTAGATTGCTTATAGTACTCAATACAATGTGATTGCTATGTAAATGGTTGTTATACCATGTTGTTTAGGGGGAAATGACAAGAAAATAATCTATATGTGTTCAGCACGGACACATTTTTTTTCAAATATTCTAAACATGACCTGTTGAATCCATAGATGCAGAACCCACAATTATGGAGGGCTGGTGGAATTTATGCTGCTTCTAGCTAGAGACATAGTCCTCATTCTCCACTCTTTGCCCACTATTCCCTCTCAGCCTACCTTCAACCAATAAAGATTAAAAGGTGAGTGGGAATGAACAGAAAACAGAAAAATGGAACAAGCAAGAAAAGTGAAACCACATTCCCAAATGATTTGGCAGAAGAGTTGATGGGATGCCACCTAGATTGGGCATAATTCTAAGGTGTCCCTAAGATTCTCCCTGTCTGCTCCCCTCCCCTTGAATTTGGAATAACCTGTGAACAGCATGGGACAGTAGTTCCCTTGATTACATGACTCTACGACTTTCCTGGGGCTGCTGTAATAAAGCATTGAAACTGGAGAAATGTATTTTCTCACAGTTCTGGAGTCCAGAACTCTGGGACCAGTGTGTCGGCAGAATTGTTTCTTCTGAGGCCTCTCGGCTTGTAAATGGCTGCCTTTTCCCTGTGTCCTCTCATAGTGGTCCCTGTGTGTCTGTGTCCTAAACACTTTTTAAGACGATACCAGTCACACTGAATTAGGGCTCATGTTGATGACCGTATCTTACCTTAATTATCTCTTTAAAAGCCCTATTTCCAAACAACCATATTCTCTGGTACTGGGGGTTATGATTTCAACATGTGAATTTGGAGGGGGGGACACAATTTGACCCCTAACAATTATGTTATATGGCATGTTAAATAGAATAATGGCCCTTCAAAATTGTTTACATCTTAATCCCCAGGACCTGGGAATATGTTACCTGACTTGGCTGAGGGGGATTGAGGTTGCAGTTAGAGTGCGCTTTTTAGCTGACTTTAGACGGTAATAAGACACATTTTGTAAGTTCTAAAATCTAAAACTGCATATATGTTTCAAGAAGACAGAGGGGCCTGAGTTCTGTTCTCTTCTTCCCTGTAAGTGGAATTCACTTCTAAGGAATTCACTTTCCTTTCTGAATTTTAGTGTCTTCTAAAAAGTTAAGAGGGGTAGCTAAGATGATTTCTAAAGTTCTCGCAGAGTTGGATTTCTTTTGGTTTTGCATTTTATGTCAATCACTAGGATTGCCATCGTCAACATACAGACCTGTAAGCCCTTTGATGTCTCATGGTAAATTTAATATATCTTGAAACTTTTCCACATTTCTTGCCCAGGCTGAAATGAGGAGCTTTGAATGAGGCTGAAACCTAGCAACCAGCTCTCTTGAAATACCTCATTGAATGCGTTTGTAGAGTATCAGGGGAAAGTATAGACAGCAAAAATGGTAACCACGCTTCAGTGTTAATTTCATTTAGTGACTCACCCACTCTGTCATCCAAAGATGGCATTGATCTAAATTGTGACCTTTTCTTCTATCTCATATCATTAAAATAATGCCAGTAAAAGGGCAGTGACTCACCACATGAGCAGATTCTTTTTGAGAAAATTAGCAGAGCATTGTCATGGAAAGTTTGGGCAAAGGGTCTTTTATTAGCTGCACCTGGTGATCAAGCAGCATCCTTTGCCCAACTCATTAAGTGCCTCTTCTCTAATGTGTCCTGTGGATTCTACAAAGCCTATGTTATTTTGTTGATTCTCATTTTGCAGTACTTCAGGCTTTGAATGCATGAATTAATTTTCCACTGAATCAGATGCTAATTGTCCTTGCCTCCATAATTCAAAGGGGCTTAGTGGGGCTTGTTTTGGATTCTGGAAGTTTTTATACATAGTTCATGGTTTATATATAGTTTATGCTGGATATAAATGCTTATATTACTTTTGTAAAATAAATAATATCAATATGGTTTGGTGTCATACACTAAATGAGCTTAAAATTTTATGTCCAATAAGTTTACAGCATAACATTATATGTATTTGAAAATTTGATAAATACTTTACATGGTTAGAAGCAACTATCTTAAAATCACTTAGTCTCAACCTTCATTCTACAAATGAGGTCCAGAGGGGAGAAATAATGGAAAAGCCAGGATGAATAACTCAGTTCTCTAACTCCCAAATTTGCCTTCTTGGTATCTCAGTAGCCTCTTGGCATCAGTGTTACACTGTGGATAACATTGTGTGTTCAAGAGAATGTTAAATATAATTTTGTGTTATCTACATAAAAAGTATACAGAATATTTAGAAATATCTCGATCACAAATGGTCCCAGTGTATGAACCCTTGAGCCCTTAAATATACATATTTTAAAAGCTCCCCTCCATAGTTCCTCTTGGTCCACAATAAACAAGTTTCTTTTAGATTCACATTAAGTTTGTAAGTTAGCAAGACTGATATCTAAAGAGACATGAGAAATTTAATGTCATAACTTCATGGAACACTGTGCATGGGCCTCTGCTGTGATATGAACACTGTAATAAGGAAGTCTTTTCCTCACAGTCAAATCACTAATGTGTTATATTGGAACAGATAGGTCTGGTGAATAGGTAACTTTAATTCTCAGATTCTTGGGGAGGCTGCCAGGTACTGCCTGGTTAACCTTTTAATACATTGGTTTCCCAGCATATTCTTCTCTCTAAAACTTTATACACTTTCACAATAAGCTTTGAGTATTTTGTTTTAGAATAGTTTAAAATGAAAACTTGGGGAATACAATAATTAGTTGAATCATCATACGAAAGTGAAGTTTGGGCACCTATAAAATAGCAGTACTTACTGGTTTCAAATATCCAGGGGAGGATATTCTAATGGATTCTGTAGGTCTCATCTCCATCTACATAATTCTTAAGCTCATTTTTCTGGGGGCCGATGCTGTAAAGATCAGACTTT